AATTTCGCCTGAAGTACAGTAAAGCTAAATCCAGCGTATTCGCAGCAGAGTGTACATACAAGCCTAATAATATTTTCAAGGTAGATTCGACGTTGAAACGACAAGCGCATTCTACTTTTAAAAAGCGGTAACATATGGAAGCTACGGGAAGTTAGGTCGTTTTCCCTTTTGATTTTATGCAATGTATTAACGCACCACGGGACGTTCTTAAGTTTTGGCTCTGTCCGACGATGATAGCGGGTTGTGGATGAGATAGCACCGTCCTTTCAAAACGTTGTAGTCATGATAATTGTCAGCGTCATTTCGGATAGATATGTTCGGGAGCAAATGCGTCAGGGGAACAACAGGGACAAACGCGGCTCTGCTTTGCGGCTCTTTGGGGTTCGGGTCTGGGGCATGCGTTCCCTGCAGTCTTGGCGTCTGTTCTTTCGTCTCTTCAGGATGCCCGTCAGCCGTGGCGTTCTTGAGGTGTCTTCATCAGCCAGATGGAAGCTGGCACTGCTAAAAGAGACCACCCTGTCACCGCAGAAGTTGTAAAGTAAGAAACCCCGGCGAGACCGTGCTGCATCTATAGGACAGTTACAAGGAGCGACGGTCCACAGCACCATCGCTCGACAGATACCCTCTCGAAGACCCGGACCTAAGGCTTTCGAACGTTTGCCGAAATGACCAACATCAAAGGGTCTTCGTATTCCTCTTTCTCTAACATCGAGAAAAGCTTCTTCCACGAAGCCATAAAAATCCGGGCCAATGACAAGGGCTGGTGGACCTAATTTTCATGGACGCCGAGAGCCACCGTACTGTACCAAATTTCTTCCTATTTCATCAGTCCCCCCAGAAAATACCTGGGCCGCTCATTAACGGAACATCTAACCTACAATGTTCATACTAACATTACAATTAGCGAAGCGTAGATCACCTTAGGCTTTCTACGAAGGCATTGGTGCCAGGCTCAACAGGATTTTAAACAAGCGGTAAGTAAAACTCTCATCCAATTTCGTAATAAAATATGCCAATGCGGTGTGAGCCTCGCGTCAATCCTGCTTACTTAATATATTGGATTCAATTCAACATAAAGCCGTAATTCTTATGCATATAAACTATTTTTTAAGAACAATGTATCCTAACTCAAGACCCTTTCAAACTTCCCTCTGTGCCCTTTGCAAACTGCCTCGTGGTTCGCTCTTTCGCTGCTTGTATTACAATGTGCGGTCGTTTACGCTCACATTTCGCAAGCGTCCCTCACACGTATTTCTGCTCTATGATCGCTCCTTAGATGTTAGCAGATAGACGTTAATTTGCTAGTAGATTCAAATCCTCCTATCTAGCTCTTCCACTGACGAATCCGTAATTCACTCTCTTCTGATGTTCTTCAATGAAACGTGATTCATCCTTATTTCGTAAAAAAAAAAAATGCTTGACATGTTTGAACTTGTTTTTCCGTGTTTACTTCCATTGTACCGCCAGCGCAGGTAATCTTTGTCATTTTGTTTGTATATATATGTGGAACAGGTTAATAACCATCTGTTGAATACGCTTGCATCGCGTAAAGTAGATAGGGTTAGGCCTCTATACCCCCTCCCCCCTTTTCCGTTTATGTAATAAATGTTTTTGTGCATTGACTAGAGGAAACTACACTTGAACTTGAGTGAAAGCAAGCCGGCCAGTTTGGAGTTGTATATTTTTTTTTTAATATTCTCGATAAATAGAAATTCTACAGGCGAGCTATAAAATATACAATATGACAGATATAATTTCTAGCATTATGAGAAATGGCTTTCGCAGCTTGTAAGCTTCTGTATGTTAGGTCGATTTGTTACGTCACCACTATCGAAAAACAAGCCAAACCTTGTTGAAGAGAGTTCGGCTGATGGTAATTGACGGTTTGCGATAGCAGGAAGTTTATATTTTATACCAGGGTCAAAATGCTTTAAGGTTGAGAAGTAAATGAAAAGTTGCAGATGTGAAGATAACGTGGTGAAATCTGACAGTAGTTCTATAATTGGCCGGTGCGCACTAGTGCATTAGCAATACAAAAAAGAAAACATCAAAAGCCAGCAAAAAGGAGAAGAAAAAACAATACAGCAAATAAGAGCGAACAGGCAGGCGAGCTGGTGAACTTTCATCATTATAAGAAAACGCTCCAGAAAAACAGATTTTGTTCAGAAATTTATAGAAGAGATTATAGGTACTTTATTATTATTACCCCGTATAGAGGTTTTCAGGCGGACTGCTCATTATCAAGCCAAAAAGCCTAAAAAAACTGCACCTTAACTTTAATTACATTTTCTTGTCCTAATGCTAGGACATACCCCTTCGTTGCTGTCACCGATACTTGTTCCTGTTACAGGTAATATATTCCGTGAAAATATGTTTATTTTTTATCTTTTTTTATTTTATTTATTTATTTTTATTTTGCACCGCGCGGCTTTAGGATGCTGTGGCTTTCGTACTTTGTGAATTTCACCTTGTCTCACTATTTTTTGCGCTTTCTAATGCACAATGCAGAAATGCCGAGGGAAATAAAACTCACCTTGTACAAAACCTCTAGGTAACCTTAGCTGGAGTTTCTGTAACGCTGGTTGTAGGACTGCTGGCTTCGTCGCTGATGTTGATTGGAAATTTAATTGTTTATTCAGATTGTGAGTCGAGCCTTCTGGAACCTCCAGGAGCACCATTTGTCTAGGCTTAGTGAAACTATTGTACCACATCTTCCTCTATACTGACAAAGCCTGGCAGACTGTCACGAGACGCCGCCGCCAAAAATGAAAAGGTAGAGCAGCAGACAGGAGTCATGTAACGGGCGCCCCGCTGCGGCGAGACGCCGAAACAGACTTGTCCCGAGCGATGGAATGTCCTTTCGTTAAAGTCTGAAAATATATCTCCAACCAAAAAATGAAAAGCAACCCGACGTTTCAAAACCAACACGGTTTCTTCTTCAGGGGTGACTGAAGGCGCGCGGACACAGCAGCAGCTCCCAACCTCTTCGTCTTCAAAAAAGGAAAGAAAAGAAAAAGAGAAAAGAAAAAGAAAAAATTAAAAACGAGAAGTTAGGAAATCGGAAAAATTGTAAAATAACTTGTTAGTTATGAAGATGGTCATCTCTTCAGCTTTTCCGTCAGGTCACGGAGGCCATGTGCGTACACAGAGGGCAGAGCGCCCAGCGACCTGTTTAGGTTTCCTGGGGTGTGCTGGATGTGCCACGATTCCAAGAAAAGTCTTCTTCGAAAATTGGGCTCTGTGTCCACCACGTGCGCGTTCGCGAAGTCAATGCGATGGTCTAGGGTATCGCAATGTTCGGCGATGGCGCTGCGCTCACTGTCAAACTTCCGCACGTCGTTCTTGTGTTGGCGGATACGCTCGGGAAAGTTCTTCGTCTCGCCGATGTAGGTTGCAGGGCACTCTGCGCAAGGAATGGTGTAAACCACGCCCTGTGCTTTTTCCTTTGGTTGACGGTCTTTCGGTCTTGGCATAAACCTTCCCAGTGTGGACGTGGGCTTGTGGGCCACCAGAATACCTTGCTTTCCCAGTACTCGTGCGAGCGCTTCGCTGGTTCCCTTTACGTAGGGAACGCTTAGGCGCGCGACTCGATGGGGCTGTCGTTCGTCCACTGGCATCTGGTTTTGTCTGGCGAGACCTTGCCGTCGGGCGATGCGCTCAATAAAGCTGCTAGACTTTAACTCTCACCCAACCAGGCAGATATCTGCCGAATATGTTTACTTTTCAATGTCCTTTCGTGCTTCTCGCGTTCCTCGGGCTACCGCTTGGTTTCTCGTCTGGTTTGAAAACCATGCTTCGGGTCTTCGCAACTGCAAAAGCTGTGCGCTGACTAGAGGCTCCCCGAGAAGTAGTCTGTGCTACCAGATCCTCGCGCTCCAAATCTGCGACCGGGCACTCTATAGCACCGTCACCGAACTGCCAGGATTTCTGAGTATAGGGGAGGCTATGATCGTACCCAGTGGGTTCATGTATGGTGGGCTTCCACATGCTGCTTAGTTCATTCTGTAGCCCTTGAGTCATATCTTATAATAAACCCTCAAATGAAAATTGAGGGATTATTATTTATTTATTATTTGACGGATTACTATATTGAGAGATTACACGATAAAGATACAGTAGTACGCAGTATTTACAGAACACAAGAGAGGAGCACAAGAATGCCTTACTTTTTGTTTCATAACGATGAACAGCCAGCCTGCCGCACACTGCAGCGCTGAAGCCACCACGTAAATGTTGGGGCGTCCCATCACCAGGCCGTTCCTACCATGATGCACTCTACTGGATCATTTGTTTTTTTTATGTAGCCAGAGTATGGATACTTCATCAAACCCTCCTGTTTATCACTTCAAACAAACTTGACAAACTTCAAACAACCATAAAACAGACCTTGGCTAATTTATCTCGAGTATACCATTGGATCAGGGCAAATTTGAACCGCACGAGATCTAAAAAGCTAATATAGAAATACATTTTATTCTTCTCGTGCTTTTCGAATTTTCGAGAATAAAAAAAAAGCGTTGATTAAGTTAGTTTTAACATTTAGTGCACCTGTTAGCATTTTGTAGACAGAGTCTTGCCATTACACCATAGGTCGAGGTCATGAAAAAGCGTTATTATACACGGTTCATGAATACAGTCTGCTGATGGTTGGTTACAAGCAGGAGTCGTGTAACCAACAAAGCTATTATATTTACATATTTACAAGAAGATATAATTAAATATTGTACATCGGGCGGTTTGGTGGTTGGAACGATGTGATGGCTAGCTCCGTGCGTGTGCCTAGGCTGTGCCTCAGGTTACAGTGTACTCACGTAAATCGCGTCATCAACGCTGGTTCTTGACACGTGTCTTGGAGCGCTTTTCTTCCTCGTCATTTTGTGCTTCTACAATTGCTTAGACGGTATAGTTCCATGAACTTCAGTATTCATTGAATATGACACGATTTTACTCAGCTCCGTCTCCAAAAACCATAGACATTCAGCCCAAATTCTATTCAAAAGAAGGAGAAAAAAAATCTTTAATGAAGATCAAAGGTGTAGTCGCTTGTTCCACAACCTTATCTCGAACTTGTTTTGTCGAGCAGAGCTCTGTTGACACGTCAAATTGTTAGCGTTAAATGTTTTGTATTTTTAATTAAAAAATATATTCTTTTAGAGGAGGTTCTGGACTCTGCCCAAGCTTTAAGCGTGTTTCGCATGCAGCGGTTTTGGACCTAGAACGGCGCGATTTCTGCCGTCGCGGCGCTCTGGCCAGCACCAGCGGTTGAGCGGCACGAGCGCCGGGACGGCAGAAATTGCGCCGCTCTAGGGCCAAAATCGCTGCATGTGAAACACGCTTTACGCTCGATGTGTTAGGAACTTACACGTTCTCAAAACTACTGTCTTCTTCCTCGTGTGCCCGAGTCTCGGGAGCAGACGAATCAGCTGCATTCTTTGAATGGTTGATGACCATTAATGAAACCGAAGAGAGAGAGTGGGAAATAAGGCCGGGGGAAGGCGGGCACCTTGAAATAAATGCCTCTTTTTGTGGCGTTCTGTTTCTTTAGAACTAGCATCAGTATTATTGGTCAGTGGGGCAGCAGTACCCCACCCATCTGGGTTAATATTTTTCTCATCTCATAACTTCGCTATCTTCAACGATTGAAAATGGATAAGGGATGCTATAGGTGGAGCAGGAGAGAGGGCAACACCCCAGTCACTCCATGTAACGTAGAGTACTTACCAGCGCCAAGGCTTGTCTGCGACAAATATCGGTCGTCTCTGGAGGAACAATAGAGGTCAATAGAATTACGATTTTTTTTCTTCTTCAAACAGTTTGCTTTACCAAGCGCACGCACTTCTTTTATTACACCTTCGTTTTCTTCTCTCTCTGTACGGACGCACCATAAACAGAACTCAAAATTGAGGCTCGATGTTCGGAAATGAGTGATATAGAACGTTTACTGTGAAACTCACAATTTTAAAGAGCGGGGACAGACGCAGGGTGAAGCGCTGAGGGCCCATTTGGTTTCCAGGCATGACACCAAGACCGATTTGTCTATAGGGAAACTGGCAACCCGTCTAAGGGCTGCCGCATTCCTGGTACCGAGAGATGGGCGAAGGAGGCCGGGAAAGTGCAACTAGACTTTCGCTGGAGGATGGACGAAAACAGGGAGTATGTTTCTACGGCATCTCGTAACAATAATCTGTACACTCTAACTCTCGGAAACACACGGAGTTTGAACACCATATACAATAAGAGTCTGTACAGATGGGCTATACAATGAAACGATGCTGACGCCATCGCTAAACGCAGGAAGAAAATGAAAGACATGAATGGGTCTTAATGCGGAAAGGAGTCAAACGTATGATGTGCATCTGCGATGCCTCGTCCGGTGGTCTGTGCGATACAGGAACAGCTTGCCTATGGGAAGGTGTTGGTACTCGGGGAAATAGGACACAACGCGTTTGAAGACTGTTGTGAAGAACAGCTTGTGTACGTGCGCAGCATTACTTTCATCTCGCATGAAGATTGCACTGTGCCAGTTAAGTTATATGTACATCTCTATAAACAAGGGATTTTACAAATCACAGTGAAACTTAGGGGCACTGGAAACGTTGTTGCGAAGACAGCAGTCTCGTTATTGCACTTATATTCTGTGTGTTTCTTTGAAGAAATAAAGAGAACTGTAAAAGAGAAAAAAATAGATTTGCTCTTGTGACCAGTACGTGCTTGAGCTGTTCGGAGTACGCACTATTACTTATCGACATGCCAATAAACTTTCTGCTAGCTCATATGTGTACAAATATACAAGCAACGGTCTGCATGAGGCAATCTCGTTCCTGTGAGCTATGAATCGATCGAAAACGACAATCTGACATGCTCGATGCACTCGTGGGCAGGTGGTTCTACGCTAGGAAAAGTTGGACTGCGTGATGGAAAGTAATCGGGGATGTCTTAAACGACGACCCGCATCGCGTTCGGTTGTCTTGCTCGGACATCATCAAAGACAGGAGTTCGCCATGTCCGAGCCACGCACCCTTCGCATGCACTGGTCGTCTCGCAAGTTCAACCTCGCGACATTCCCCCGACAGGGAAAGGCGGCTCAAGCACGTTTTCGAAGGTCCTTTCACTCGCTGTCTTGCAGTCAGCTCAACTGATAGTACTCTGGTGCCGTATATTCATTGGCAATGTTTGTGAGGAAGCTGAACTCATTGGAACCACACGAGCCGGGCCCCGAATAGCCGTTGGAGTCGTAATAGAAACTGTTAAAGTTAAGGTCAGTGTCCGACGAGCTCTGGCCGTTGTAGTGTTCCGGAGAAGGGTTGTAGTTGTTAGAGGGAGCGTTGGCCGTGCCGTTCTGCATCTCGAAGTAGCCTCCGGAACCCTGGTACTGTTGCTGCTTGGCAGCGGTGGCGCTGTACTCGGGTGTTCGGACGCTACTGGCGTTTGAGGCGGGGGTGCCGTTGCACGCGATGTCGTAGTACATGCCCGAGTCCCCACTGGGCGAGGAGACCATACTGGTGGTGTCTTCAGCCGAATAGCACTCCGTCGCCCGGTAGTTGTAGTTGTATCCGTTCGTTCCGCTCACTCCGTTGTACTGGCCCTCGTCCATGTTCTCCGTGTCAGAGGTGGCGTAGCTAGCGCCGTAGTTGCGACCGTAATCTTGACTCGAGTTTCTGTACTCTCCAACGTACCCATGCGCGGATACGCTGGTCTGGTTCATTCCCTCCATGCTGTACATGTACGACCGCTGCTCGGGTGACTGCTGGTGAGGCGTCTGTTGCGTAGCGGTTGCCACTTGGGACGCCTGATGGTGTTGTTGGTGCTGTTGTTGCTGTTGTTGGTGCTGCTGCTGCTGATGCTGCTGCTGATGCTGCAGCGGTTGTTGCTGAAGTTGGGAGTGCTGCGGCTGATGCTGGCTCTGCGTGTGCTGCACCTGCTGGTGTGAGCCCATGGCGGGTCCTATCATGCCCGCGTGGCCAGCTGACGTTGCCGCGTAGCCGCAGGTCTGCGAAGACCCGCTCATTGACGCGCTGCCCTGGTGGTGATAGTACATATGGGCGGCCTTGGTGTAGGCGTGGGGCACGGCACCGGCATAGCTGTTGCTGCCTACCTGCGGAGGCCCCTGGGCACCTGTGGCGGCCGCGACCTGTGGCCCGACCGCTGCGCTGGCCGCCGGCGGAGAACGGTACGTGGCCGCGCAGTAGACTCCAGGCGACTGCTGTCCCCGGTGCACGGCGGTGGCGGCAGTGGCGCACTGCCCGTTGTAGCCCTGCATGGGACCTCCGCCTGGGCGGTCCTGGGCGTAGTGGTTGGCGTACAGGTGCGGCTGGACCTGGCAGTTCGGAGAAGAAGCCACACGCGCGCTGGGACAAGGATAAGATGCGGCCGAGGGGCTGGCGACCCTCTGCGGGCACAGACCACCGTCGAGGGAGCAGAGAGCGGGGGCCTTGCCGGACAGCAGCCTGGGCGCGGCGGGGCTGGCGGCACGACCGTCGGCGCCCTTGCCGCCCGGCGTGGGTGTCTTGTCGGAGCGCGCAGGCGAGGCGCCCGCCAATCCCGGCAGAAGGTGGGCCTTGGACTCCGGGTCCGGGTCCGAGCTGCAGGGCGACGGGGCAGCCGCCCTGGCCGGACAGCAGGGCCCCGGGTCCGGCTTTCCCACCTCATCTCCGGGCGCGAGACCCGCGGGGCTGGCGCCGGCCCTGTCGGTGGCCTCGACCGAGGACGCCTCGCCCTCGGAGGCCGCGTCTCCGTTGCCCTTCTCGTCCTGCTTGCTCATCATCGTCTGTCGCTTGTGCTTCATCCTCCGGTTTTGGAACCACACCTTGACTTGGCGCTCGGTGAGGTCGAGCGACGCGGCGATCTCGATCCGCCGAGGCCGACACAGGTACTTGTTGAAGTGGAACTCCTTTTCCAGCTCCAGAAGCTGCGTGTTGGTGTAGGCGGTCCGGAGACGTCGCGGCATGCCGTTCTCTCCGTTCTCTGCAACACACAAGACCAATAGGGAGCTGGGTTAGTGAGGATACTACTTAAAGCTTTTAAAATATAGTTGAAGCTTTATCAGCTATTTGTGTTAATCAAGAAAACGGCAGAAATTGCGTGCTCTTTTGTGACAATAAACTTCCACAACCATACTCATTCGGGCCTTCTTTCGAGCAGAGAGGTTCGTCATCTATTGAGAGAGAACCTCAATCCAATTTATGCAACTAACAACAATGCCTATGCTCCCTTTGGTGTAATGTGTCTTCATTTCGCAGGCATCACCACTGCATTAATCAAGCGTACAGGCATCTCATGAAATGCATGCTTAGACAGTTTCTCCGATTCTCACCAGGAAAACGAGAACAATGTCGTCAGTACTGACAGGGCTCTTACAGGAAAGTAGTAGCACCATGACAGAGCTCAGTGCTCAACTTGTGCTTCGTATAGCGCTTCTCCTTGTTTTCGACATGGGCGTCTTTAAGTGCTTTAAGGTGAGATCGTTTCACAGAATTTTGTACTAGAATGAGTCAACAAGTAACAGCAATAAATTTTTATCCGCATAGTAATAAAAATAAAAATAAAAGCAACTTGCCGCTTTTCGGCATAGTCTTCTCCGCTTTCAACACATGTGCGAACGCTTCACCAACGTGTCGTTGCCGCGGAAAAAAACATCTTACTGGTGTCTCCGAAACCAGGGATTAACCGTGGCTTTCAGCTTGTTCCCTGTACGGAACTTCTTTCCTCCAAAAACTGCTTTGAGCCCTCCGACAAATTTTAAAAAAATCGCTCGGTGCCACGTTTTTCGAGTATGGCGGATGCGGAATTCACTGAAAACGTAGAAACTTTAATTTATTTACGCTGTCCCACTTGCCGTGTGGGGGCGCGTATTTTCATGCTGCCTCAACGTTGCTGGGCTGGCGGCCCTCCCAAAGTGAGGATAACCCTGTCGGCTGCAAGCCAAACCGTCATCTAGCCTCCCACTCATGTCTAGCCGTTTGTGAGCTGTTTACGCAGTTATTGAGCATTTCCACTTCTGAAATGACGAGGGATAACTTTGGGAACATGTAAATCACGTGTTCCGTCAACTATGCGTTTGTTTTGGGCTATTCATCTATTGATAATGCGAAAACATTATAAAAATGACCGCATTCGCGGTGCTTGGTTGCATTACCGAGTCGTCAAAGCCTCTACTTGAAATAATTAATCCTCACGTCAACAAGTACTTTATAATTCGGGATTTTCATGAACACAAGCCTACCTATCGATGTAACATATACGAGGCCACAACATCGCGGGAGGCAAAATGGCGGCCGCGGCCGAAATGACGATACTTGCCCAAAAGATGTCGACACTCTAGCAAGGCACAGCCAGCAAGTAACATTCAGGCACTTTATATTCAGCAGCAACACACCTAAGATTAATAAACCACGGCCCTTTGACCTGATTTTTGACTTTTCGGGCAGGACACATTATAATTTACTGATGATAGTGAGCCCCCCGGGCATACAATGTTCAATTATTGGCCCTTTACGGTCCTAGGAAACCGTGACCACAACCTTGCCTTGTGTCGGAACTGCCCGGATTGTATTTGGACTTGGTGACGAAGTGTGCCCCCAGTCTTTGCTTGCCCGCTTGGTCTCTTGCCGATTATAAAGGATTTGACATTCGTCCCCAGTGACGTTGCGTCCAAGAAAACCATCTCATTGTTACAGCGTCGGAGTATCGTCTGGCGCACAACCACACGGCGCTCCTTAATGTCTGGTATACGTTTTCTTTGAACCCACCTGGCGGACACTTTACAATACTGCAGAATATCGTGAGTCACCTGGTGCGCCAAGCCTTGACTAATGGTCAATTATTTAGCCATTCCATCGATAGGGACACAGGACACTTTCTTCTACAAGCCGTTCAACTTCTGACATTGAGTATGTCGTCGTCAAAGTTTAAGGCCGACCGGAGTGAGGTGCGTCAGTCAGACTTGACTCTACGCATTGAAAATATTGTTCACCGCTCGTATACCTGTCTAAGCGACATACAGACGTTTCCAGACTGCTTCAAGATCATGCAAGGAATATCCGCGGGCTTTTTGCCCTCTGCAGCCAAAAATTGGATTACTAAGCGCTGCCCCTCCCTGGTACAGGCTTTCAAGGGAGGGGCCATTTTGAGAGTGCTGTGATCACGTGACATTTTTCAGCAGGTCGATGGACCGGCGTGCATAACTTACTTTAGCCAAGGGTCAAACAATACTTGTCACACAGTAGTAATCTATCGCGGGATTTGGAGTTTTTATAACTATAAAATGCAGGTAATTTTTTACTCTGTTTTCACATCACAGTTTCACTATCTGGACCAAGCAGTTGTCAATGCTTTTCTCTTTGCAGTTTATTTCCTCCCCATTCAAAAAAAGAATATTTATTCCAATTTGTTACTGCGAAGTAGAAAATCCTCCTTAAAAACAGGAAAAAAAAAAAAACAGGTGAGTTTGTGATTGACATTCATGGTAAACCCGAGACCGAGGGATAATAATAAGAGGAAACCATACAAAATAAGCAAAATAATTTAGCAAAAAAAAAAAATCAGACGTCCTTTTATTTTATTTTTGTCTCGGATTTACTGTGGATTTGCTACTCAAGCACTTAGGCACTCATTCAAAATGGCGACCTCGTGACGCCCAACTTCACTGTTTCTTTTTTTTTCTAGTAAAGATGAAAACGCTGCCGCGTTTTATTTTATCCGATATCATTGAGCATTCTAAGAAGTCTGCAGACAAACTGTCCTGGTCAGGTCCATATCACATGAGCGAATGGCGTTTTAGCGAACAGCGACATTTGAGCGAATCGACGTTTTAGCGAATAACGGGGGCACGCGTTGACCCATCCTCCGCGCTGCGCTTACGCCGCTTCGCGGCTGCAGTCTGCGGCGGCTCATTACAGAAATGTGAACTCACTTAACCCACCCGAAAACGCCGCTTCGCGGCGTCCGACTATTCGCTAAAGTGTCATCCGGTGAAACGTGGGCGTTCGCTAAAACGTTATTCGATCAAGTGAGTGCCTCCCGTCCTGGTCATACAGATTGTGCGGAGGTAGACAGAAATAAACATGACTAACTTCCGAGGGGAGTGTGCTGCTTCCCGTTGGCTATTGTTTTTGCTTGTTTTTGAGGACCCGCAGTAATTAGCGCGTATTTTAAAAGTTTTACCACTGAGGACTAACTGTGTTACCTCCTTACATTTGCTTTACGGGATCAACATGCCATCCCGATCTTTTTGCTGAAAGGAATTGGCCTTGTTGACCAAGGAAATGACAAACCTACCGAAAATGTCGTGGGTGCATCCTCACGACTACGTATTCGAACCGCATGGTCCACTTCCTGAGAACGACTAGTTCAAACCCAAACGTCCTCCAACGCGTTCAACTCCTTCGTGAACGGCAAGGCATCGGCGATGTGCACCTACTTTCGCCAGGCGTCGAAGATACGCGCCCAGCTTCCCCGCCGGGGTCGCCGAGCTGTGTCTTGCGTTTTAGCACATACTCTTCCGAAAGCTTTTATCGCGCTTCCTTCAGCGTGACGCGACTCTCTGTAATGCCCAATATTCTCATGTTTTGACTTGCTTGCAATGGTATTCAATGATTCTTTCTGATAGCACCGTGCCAGCTTGCATTTATACGTGCCGTAATAATCCAGTCGGCACGCATCGTTGTAACGGAGATGGTCGCGGTCGAGGCGACGCCGAGGAGTCGCTGGCGCTGCATCCTCGCGTTTGTCGCTCTGCGCCATCTGTCTGCAGCCCATCGAAGTAGGCGAGCACCGTCTGCTTAGCTGCGATCACCGAGGCTCGCCGGCGTCGGTGGCGTCGCTCGTCTCGAGAAAATTGAAAGAACTTGTGACATTTTGTTCATGCCGTTGCGGATGGGTAACTTAAACGCGCGAGACTGTGGCATTTCTAGGGCGTAGATCTTCCCGCAAATGGTCGCCAGTGAATCAAGAGTCGTCGCGCACCTACCTAAACACAAAGTAAATGTAGGAGAACCGGAACGATCTCTCTCCCCTTGTCATGGTGGCCGTAATTGGCTAAACATCCCGTATAATATAATATGAAATGAGCGAAGGCCTAGCTTCATAATCAACACTAATCGAAGTAACCTAAAGTGAGCTGAATTATCCCCAATATGTTTGATATGAGTGCAAATATTTGTACAAAAGGTAATTTTTTATGTTTATTTTATGTAGATAAAAATCTATATAAAAATCAGTGCATTTCTATATGCATTCTTAGGGCCTAAAATTGATAAAAAGCATAAAACAAAATGTAAAAATACATATAAGCAATTGACTTCTTCCAACGATGCGCCCCATCGCGGCGAAATTCCGCGCAGTGCACTCTGGGAACTAGTTGGCCACTCAGTTTCGGTTTCGACAGAGCAGTGCCATCACGCTGCGCCCGAACGTGCTAGTTGCGTTTTCGATTATCTGACTTTTTACGAATGTACAATACACTCATTCTCGAGTGATACAAAACAAAGACGGCGGCACTTTCCTTGGTTCCCGAAACACCGGATATTGCGCGTGCGTATGCAAACGTAGTAAGATGTGGCTTTGTCACCTTACCCCACGAGTGTATCTTTGAGCTCAATGTCAGTAATCCTGTCTAGTACCAGTGAACTACAAGTGAAATTTGGTCAGCTTGAGCCCTACACGTATTTTGTTTGCCAAATGTCCGCTTCTTGCTACTTCATTGGGCGAAAAGCAAGCCACATCCCCACAAGAGTATCAAAGTTGAGCCCAGCGTTGACGCATGAACTTTTAAAGAAACGCCATAAATACGACCTCACTAGCGCACAAAAGTTACTATAATGTCTTCCTCGTGTCATCACATACCTCACACTCAAATTTTATGCTGATGGAAGAATAAGGTTCAGCAAACGCTGAGATCGGCTAGCTACGACGGAGGCCCTAACAAGCGTCCCCTACTCCTCGCTAAGCCTTTTTCGACGAGCTTT